CGCACACCCGCTAAGAACGAGAATGGGAGGAGGTGGCATCACATGGGAAAAGAGCCATGCTGTACAAGGCCACAAGTCCACTGAACGGCTTTTATTCTGAGTGAGGAGGCACTAACAGAGGTGCTGGCCAGAAGGAGCCGCACAGGCAGACTCTCATCCTGAAAGAATTGCTTGGCTGCAGTGCTGGGAATGTGTTGAAGGAGCCCACGGCAGGTAGAAAAAGGCCAATCTGGGGCAGTGGTTCTCAGCCAGGGCACTTTGTTCAGAGACGTCTGACAAAAGACTTGTATCCAAAATACACCAAGAACTCTTGCAACCCAACAATAAAAAGTGAAGAAAAAATATGGATATGTCACAAAAGGAGATAAAGGAAGCCAATGTGCGTCTGAAAAGACGTTCGATAGCATCAGTCACTGGAACAATGCAAACCAGAATGGAAATGAGCACTCCATACACCCATGAAAACGGCTGAGATGAAGACCGAGAACACTGAGAGAGCTGGCTATGATGTGGAGCTGCTGGAACTCTCGTACCTTGTGGTACAAACACTTTGGAAGACTGGCAGTTTTTGTAAGTTAAACACACTCTTACCATAAGACCTAGCAACTCTACTCCTAGGTATTTACCTAAGAGAAATGAAAACATATATTCACACAAGAATCATATACAAATGTTCACAGTAACAAAAAAACTGGGAAAAAAAAAAGTCCATTAATAGGTGAATGGATAAATATTGGTATACTCCTAACATGGAATATTACTCAGCAATAAATGATAAATGCAGCAACATGGGTAAATCCCAGAAGCATGCTGAGAAAAAGAAGCCAGATAGGAAAAACGAATACATATTGTATGCTTCCATTTATCTGAAATTCTTGATAATACAAATCTAACCTATAGTGACAGACCAACGGTTGCCTGAGGTTACAGAATGGGGGGTGAGGGAGTGGTAAGGGGCTGACTGGTTAGTAACTAAAAGAATTCTTTGGAGTAATGAAAATTTCTTTACCATAGTTATTGTGGCTATAAAGGTACATATATTGGTCAAACCTCATCTAACTGCACCCTCAAAAATAGGCACATTGTACTGTATATAAATCATACTTAATAAAGTTTACTTAAAGGAAGAGATTACAGGCAGACTTCTGCCTCCAGTTATGGTGGACTGGCAAATGTGAACCATCTCTCTTGCCGAGAAAACTAGAAAATCAGAACAAAATATTAGGGGAGATTGCTCAAAGACATGACTGAGGCACTAATGAGCAGTGAGGAGTCTGACATGTGGGGCCCTTCACCCCTTTAGGTGTCTGTCAACTCCAAAAGAGGCAGCTGAGAGGCTGTGAAACCAGGCTTCATGTCTGACCCTCAAGTAGAAGCTGTAAGTTCTAAAAAATAGAGAATAAGGGGAGACATGAAATCACTTTGCACCAAAAACTTGAGTTCTGCAGCAAAGGGGAGAAGCAACATCAGGAAGTGGCAGTAAATGGGACAGGCGGAATCAAGAACAAGTTTTACAGTAAGTTTTTACAGGATTGTTTGAGTAGCGCACAGTACACATGTGCACTGTAGGGTGTTTAGCAGCATCACTGGTTTCCACCTACTAGATGCCAGAAGAACCCCCACCCCAAGGTGTGACAACCAAAATGTCTCCAGACACTGCCAAACTCACCCCCACTGAGAATCACTGGTGCACACTGTGTGTTTCCTCCCTCTGTTTAATCCTACCAATGCACGCCACACACCACTTCTCATCTTCTTTTTTTACCTTATGAGAATTCCTCCATCAGTAACACAGTTTTCAAATTCTATTTGTATCTTGATTGTCCTTAAGTATACTTATTCATAATGTTGGTTATCTTAGAAGCACTGTATTTTTTATTTATTTATTTATTTTTAATTTATTATTATTATTTTTTTTTTCCTTTTTGTCTTTTTTCGTGTCCGGCAACGGATCACAACCCTCAGTGTCGCGCCCGTACTGGACCGGGACCGGCAACGGGATCGCAACCCTCGGCGCTGCGCCCGCACCTCGCTCAGCCAGTGAGCGGGAACCGGTCTGTATGTGGGATCCGAACCCTCGGCGGGAGCGCCGCCGCACTCCCAAGCAGCGCACACCAGGCTGGCCCATTTTTTATTTTTTTTTTAAAGATGACTAGTAAGGGGATCTTAGCCCTTGACTTGGTGTTATCAGCACCACACTCTCCCAAGTAAGCCACGGGTCAACCCCAGCATTCTATTTTTTTGAGAAATAGCCTTATTCGGGGAGAAAGCAAACAGTTTCCCTTTGATTTCATAAGTGACACCTGGGAACAGCCCAACTATCAAGGTAAAATCCACCCACCTGAAAGTAGCCCTCCTTACTTGGTGGCAGTATAACCTAGTTACTGAAAGTAATCAGGGGAAATATTTTATTTTGGAATTCTACCTTGCAAACCATAACAATATGAAAATAAATAGCAGCTAATTCTTACTACACCCTTCTATGTGCTGGCAGTGTTCAGAGCACTTTCGGTGTATTAACGTATTTAGTTCTCAAAACAATCTCCCAAGGATGATGCTATCATCTCTATTTCACCAAAGAGGAAACCAAGTTCAGACATGTTCAGTAATTTACCCAAGGTCATACAAGTAGAAAGAGTCAGAACCAGAATTCAAATCCAGGCAGTCTGGCTCTGGTGTTTGTCTCTAAACCACTACATTCTATTTCTTCTTCAATCAAAACCTACAAGTTTTATATGGTCACGTTTACATTCGTATCTATATTTCTACTGAGTTCAACTGTAATCATGAATATAAAGATGTTTTTTATTTATAATTAGTGAAGGATAGTGTCCTTGAATTTTACTACTTCCTATACCTCACGTTTCTTAATATGAGTCCAGTCAATATTTTCGTAGAACATTTTCCTTGTATTTTCTTCTGCTAACAAATTATCATCCTTCATTTTAGGACCACATGTAGAACTGTTAGGATATTTCAAAACAGTTATCCCAAAGATGAGAAGAACCGTCTAAGTTTTACACTCCAGCAAGAAGTCCAGTCTGGTTGGGGAGAATACAAATGGAACACCCCTCCCTCCATGTTTCTGGGCTCACTCCCACACACAGCACCACAGCGAATCCTCCTGTGATTTTACCAGATAATTACCAGCATACCCTGCCAGCTGCCTCCCAGGCAAGATTGTGTCAAACATCTGCATATCCTCAAGCCTAAAGTGGTACCTAGCACACAGTTCAATAAATGTTTGCTGAACTACAGTGTAATTCTTAAATTCATTCCACAAAGTTCTTTCTCTTTCAATTTAACAAGCATTTTTTGACTATTCACTATATGCCAAACATCATACACAGGAAATAAAAAGAAATTTCTTATGAAAATGTTTGCAGAATACAACTTAACAACAACAACAACAAAAATTTAAAAATGGGCAAAGGACTTAAATAGACATTTCTCCAAAGAAGATACACAAATGGTCAATAAACACATGAAAAGATGCTCAACATCACTAATTATTAGGGAAATACAAGTCAAAACCACAATGAGACATCATCTCATACCTATTAGGAATGGCTTCTATCAATAACATGCGTTAGAGAGGATGTGGAGAAGTTGGAACCCTTGTGTGCTGCTGGTGCAGCCGTTATGGAAAACAGTACGGCAGTTCCTCAAAAAATTGAAAATAGAATTACCATATGATCCAGCAATTTTGCTTTGGGTGTGCATATAAAAGAATTAAAAGCAGGTCAAAGAGATATGTGTATACCCATGTTCATGGCAACATTACTCACAAGAGCAGAAAGGTGCAAGCAACCCAAGAACCCTTTGACAGATGAATGCATAAACAAAATGTGGAATATACATACAAGGGAGTATTATTTAGACTTAAAAAGGAATTCTGCACAAGCTACAACATGGATAAACATTAAGAAAATTATGCTGAGTGAAAAAGCCAGTCACAAAGGACATGCACTGTATGACGCCTTACATAAGGTTCCTAGTAGTAAAATTAACAGAGACAGAAAGTAACGTGGTACCAGCAGGGGCTGGGGGGAAGGAAGGGAGTGGAAGATGGGGAGTTGTTTAACGGATACAGAGATTTAGCTTTACAAGGTAAAGAAGAGTTCTGTGGATGGATGGTGATGGTGGTAGCATGACAATGTGAGTGTACTTCATGCCACTGAACTGGCATGAAGCACATTCATATTAAAAATGGTTAAGATGGTAAATTTAATGTATGCGTATTTTACCACTATTTAAATAAATATTTGTAGAAGAAATCATAGTCTAGACCTCTTCATGAATATTCAGCAGAACCAACTGTACTTATATCTTTGCCTTACAAATAGCCATGTGAGAAAAAACTTTGCTTAAACTCCACAATCATACTGAAGGCCGCAGGTTTGGGAAGGAGAGGTTATACCACCCATGCCCTTTCCCTCCTCTGACAGCGCTATCTTTCTGTTAACTTAACATAGAAAGGCCAAAGCTCAATCATTTCATTTCTAGTTTCTACAGTTTGGGAATACGATGTCTAGCACTGAGCCCCTTGCAACAAATTTTACTATACCTGAGCAATATGAACCTGCTACATAAATTAAAGGTGAAACAAATCTCACTAGGCAGAATCAACACAGAAAAGGCTTTTTCATTAAGCCTTAGCTGGCTGTTGTTTATGGTCTCACTGGTATTTCTTGCTTTGTATTTTAAAAACATCTTTTCAGTCATACTCGAGCATCCCTGGTAAAACCACTTTACTCTTGGAGGTGTAAATAATAGATTTATCTTGCCATTCTCAAACTCTTAATGGGGAAAAAAGTGTTTGATTATGGGTAAAGGTTCAGTTAATGAAAGCACAATTAAAATGTAAACAAAAATATAACAGCTTCAGTCAATTGACTTTCAGATAGATGATGCTTACAGTAAAGAGCTGGTAAAAATATTTTACACTGAGAAACTGTCTTCTGTAAATTTGATGGATAACAATGTTAACATTTCCCTACCTGCTGTTTCCTGCCCGTGGCAGGTGCTCAGAGCAGCGAGAAGCTGGTTAAAATCATCTTGATGAGCAATCCAGTTGTCCTGAAAATACCAAAAAATGAATGATAGGTGAGCAAAAGGTGAGCTTGTAATTTAGCTACACTGACTGAGATAAGCTCTATTTTGGAATCAAGAAAATCTGGTAGTTAATATGAAATTTTAAATGTTTCATCAAAATATTATTTGACAAACTTAAATGGATTCAAGAAATAATATAAACTTGAAATGTGATTTATCCAGATCAATATTAAAAAGGGGCTACATGGAAGCTCAGGCCCTGATTTCAAACATGGATCACTTATCCATCACCTTACAGTTGAATAACCAATAGGCAACCTGTGTGCTAAATATTAAAATAATGCAAAATAAAATTACTGAATTTTTCTCACTAGGGGAGATCACATACTTCAAAGGACAAGAGCCATGAGTGACATGAAATCTCTCTTGTTTGCTCAATAGAGCTTAAAATATTTTGCCCAATTCTACTTACTTATATAATGACCCTAATTTTACAAAACTCTGGGGAGCAGGAAGGACTCCAAGTCCCCTGCATCAATGAGCACCCATCTATAAGGCAGTTAACTAATAAGTTCATTACCACAGAGAGAATTTAGCTTTGTAAGAGAATGAAGATCTCCAAAATAATATAAACCAGTGGGACTCAGGATTTCAATGTAGAAATTTGTCTCATATACATTCTTAAGCATATTGAATAGGTTTACTGGGCAATGCTTCTCCTGAGAAAATAAGTATATCTGTGTTATGTATTTCTCAACAAAAACATTAAAAATCAACCTTATATATTCTTTTTTTTTTGGGCAGCTGGACAGTATGGGGATCCAATACACTACTCAGAGCATGTCCCAAAGTAATTCAGTTTACATAAGGTAATTCTCCAGATTTTCTAGGCTGAAAAATTTAGAAACAAAACTTTCAAAACTTAGACACTTTTTAAAGGAAACAACAACAATGAAAATGAAAAGTCTGGTAGGCCTCTCTAATTTTTAATTAGGCCTCTAACTTTTAATTATACTGTCACATTTTCAAAGTGTCTGTGTTCGATGGGAAATGTGAATAAATTCAACTGCTGTATACAACAGTCAGAAACAGACAAAAGGACAGGAAAGAACACCACTGTTTTGCATCATTGCCAAAACTAAATGCCACCAAATTTTAATAATGTAAGCTAATATTAGAGCACAGCTAAATATAAAAATTCCTTTCTGTCCTGAAATTAGTATTTCCATTAAAAAAAAAAAAAACTTTTTGCAAAGTTTAGCAATGAAACTAGTTTGGATCTCTCAGGTGTAAGCAAGTGAAGGGTCCCATGAGGATGACAGATAAGGTGACAGCTGTTACACGATGAACAGCCAGCTCAGCCAGGGGCTCCTTAGTTACCCAAGACATGGATGATACACACTTGAATGTTTAAAAACTGATCAATCAACTTCACTGAATGAAAATTTTTTATTTACCAAACTGAAGTCAATCATGCAAACCGGCTCACTCTCACTTACTTCATTGCTGACTGCAGCTCCAAGTCCCAGATGGTTATTTTTAACTTGAACTTTAATATGCTCTGTGGCTCCTTGCTCCTGAGCCCCTAAACCCTGTGGAGATTGAACACAAAGAGAATTAGCATTTGCATCAGGTAGATGGAGAGATCACCTCTTTCTTCATCAACCAGTCAATTAATTACTAAACATCTAGGAGTGAGGCACCATCCTTGCCCTGAACGACGACAGTCTAATGGATTTTACAAGATAATATGTCTGTAATACCAATTATTGGCACTTGTAACAATACATGCCAATTACTCAACCTGAGACCAAATATATGGCATATGTAAACACTAAGTAAAACATGATGCAGCTAATACTCAGAAGCAGAGTACTGCCATAAAACTAGTAACAGCTCGTCTGAGATGTTATGAGACTATGGCTCTCTCCATTAAACGATTTTACAAAACAACCCAAGGAAAGTGGGAGGGGGCACTCCAAGTCTCCTGCACCAATTAACACTCATTCATAAGGTGCTCCAGGTAAGGAAATAGCAAGTGCAAAGACCCCAAGGTGGAAAAGAGCTGGGTGCACTGGAGAACCTCAGGGGCACCCAGGGTGGCCTCAGCAGAGTAAATTAAGAGGAAACAAGATGATGGGAGGGTCTGGACCTCAGGGACCTTGAAAATGATGGCAGGAATTTGGATTTTATTTTAAATACAACGGCAAACCACTGGACTTTTAAGCAAGAAAATGACATGGTCTCATTTCCATATTTTAAAAGACCATTCTGGCTGCTGTGTGGCAAAATGGACCAGAGGAGAAGAGGGAGGCAGGGAAGCCACTGAGGAGGAATAATGACCGGTGATGCGGGCATGAGAGAAACAGAGGTACCAAGCATGACCCTCAGGTGCCAGGCCTGAGTAAGTGGGCAGATGGTGTTATTTGTGAAAATGAGAACTGGGCAAAGACAGGCTGTGGGGGGCAAGAGTTTTATGATAAAAGTGATGCCCTTCAGGTGGACACTCAAGTGGAAGACTCAAGCAGGCTAATGGATTTATAAATACGGAGCTCAGGAAACAGACTGGACTAAATACAGAAAAGGAACTGTTCTCGGACTTCAGATAATTCAAAGCATGGCACGGGGAATGAATGAGATCGTCTGGGCAGAGTACAGGAAAGGATCTGGAGCTGAGCGCTGAGGAGCTCCAACACTCCAAAGTCTGGAAGAGGAAGAAGAGACAGCAACAAATTTAGGACTAGTCAGTGAGGCAGAAGGAAAAAAAGGAGAGAGGGTCATATTATGGAAGCCAAGACAGAACTATTTCCAGGAGAGAGCAGTCAATTATGTCCAGTGCTGTGGAGGGGTTAAGTATTGTGAGAACAAAAAAAGGTCCTTTGGATTTGGCAACAAGATCACTAAGAACCTGGACAAGAACCATTTCCATGAGGAAACATCTGTAGACGCCCTACTGGAGTCAGGAATAAATGGAAGTGAGGAGAAGAAGAAAACGCATATAGTCTAGCTACACAAGGGAATAAAATACTACTCTCAGCAATATGACACTCTGACAACTAAGTATTGGGTAACTAATAAGAGTTGACATTAATATTCGATTCTAATTTTATCATCATATGGTCCCTACAACTTATTTCTCCAAAATCATTGATTGATCCAAAACATAAATATCTCCCAGCCTCCTGAGAAAAATGTCTTCTCCTCATTTGTAATCTCTCTGCATGGCTCAGACTTCTTTGCATTTCTCCAAAATACCTTTCCTTTAGACCACCCCATCTTCTCCAGCATCCTCTGACCAAACTTGGAATCATCATTACTCCACGCAGTGTTTCTTGGATCCACAGCCCACTTCTGCTTCCGCCGACCTGTAAATGAAAAAGTATTTCATCATCAATTTATCTTTCAAACTTTGAAGATACATACAAATACACACATAAATATATGCCTGCATATTTGCATAAAATATGACGTACATTATGTTTTATTAGATGTAGATATCAGATTCAGCATCCAGTGGAATGTTAAGAGATTGGATCATTTCTCCTGGTTTCCCCAATAACTGTATATTCTCAACATATAACTTGATGTTAAGATTAAAATGTTCCCTCCAAATGTGACAAAGCAAAATAAACACATGATATACCATCAGTTGGGCCTTCTACATTCAGCCACTAGCAGCAACTGACAGCCCCTGTCCACACCAGCCGCATCATCACCGTCAGTGGCAGCAGCAGCAGTCATCATGACTTCCGCTGCCATGTGCTATATGCCAAATGCTGTACATACATTCAATTCCATTTGCACGGTAACCTAAAGGGAAATATTCTTACCTCCACCTTTCAGATGAGAAAATCTGAGGCTTAGAGAAAGAAATTTGCCTCATGTCGCCAAACAAAAACCAGGCCCTTTATACAAACCAAAGTTCTACTGACTTCAAAGCTTATTATATTCTTAATCCAGAAAAGACAACAGTCCCTATGATCATGTGGAGAGCCAACTATAACCTCCACAAACACAATTTACAGATACTAACCATACCGTCCTTTCTCAATGAAATGCCCTAAATGCTATAATTTATTCACTGAGCTTTCAGAATAAATTGTGTTTCTTTTTTGATACTTAATTAACATTCTGCTTTGTGGCTACTTACATCCATCTTTTATGTTTCCTATTAGACCATAATCTCTTTAAGGGTCATATTCATGTCTTTTTCTTATGCTTAATTTCAAGAAGTGAAAAAACAATTTGACCATAGCAGGTGCTCAGTATAACACGTGAATGAATGAACGAATGAAACAAGAAAGACAAAGACAGGGAGAGGAGGAAAGAAAAGGGAAAAGGAAAAAGGAAGGAACACAACTGAATTAAAGGAACTGCTCTGAGTCTCATTAAAGTACGCTAAAAATACATATAAATAACCATCAGGAACTCAAGTTTAACACTGTAGCTTTAAGGAAAAGTATGGCAGACAGAAAGAATCCCAAAGGTTCACAGAACAAGAATATTAGACCCAAAAGTTGACTGTGGCCAAGTGAAAAATTGGAGGTCAAGTGTCATTACCATTCACCTGCTGCATCAATCTGAGGGCATTATCACACTATCAATAGCAGCTTCTAACCTTGGCAGTCTCATAATTAAAAAATAAAACAACGTACAGCCAAAGGGGCTCATTGTCCTGCATGTAAAATCAACAGAGACCCATAACTATACACACTGTAGCAAAAATAAATGCTTTACAAGCATACAGGCAGAAAAGGGCCATGTACAAAGGAAAGCAATGTTGGGCTCAAATTTATAGTGTTATGCAGCAAAAAGGGTGACCTCAAAATGCTCCACCTGGCTAGGTTACCACTTTACTTATCTTGGTAAATATTCAGCATAACACTGTCTCTGTTGATGAACAACATACCAAGGATAAGCCTTGTTAACCAGTCAGTATCCTGTATGTAAGCTAGTTATCAGTGTGTCAGAGTTCATGTCTTCATATAATACTTACTAGTGTCTTTAACTGAAGCGTATATAAAGGAGACAGTTTGAAGAATGACTGAGCCTGCCCTCTGCTATACATGCAGTACAGAACGTTTATGCTACAAATTCATATAATGCTTACACAAGAGACTGGCTATTGGGTAAGTCAGTTCCTTTTTCCCAGGGAAATGGCAGGTATCCTCAACCAAATGAGGGTGTTAAAAAGCGGGGGAGGGGCCGGCCCGGTGGCGCACTGGAGAGTGCGCCAAGCGGCGCTCACATCTCAGTTTTGACCACACAAGATTATTATAAACTTTTTACAAGTTCGTGTAAACCCTTTACTTTTAAACCAAATTTTTTAACAAAAACCATATTACATTTTTATGTTTCTTATAATCTTTACCAAAAATATACTTTACTTTTTAAAAATATTCTGGTAAAAAAATGTTTGTGGGCCGGCCCGTGGCTCACTCGGTAGAGTGCGGTGCTGATAACACCAAGGCCACGGGTTCGGATCCTATATAGGGATGGCCGGTTTGCTCACTAGCTGAGCGTGGTGCTGACAACACCAAGCCAAGGGTTAAGATCCCCTTACCGGTCATCTTTATAAAAAAAAAAAAAAAAAATGTTTGTACCAGGGCCTGCCCATGGCTCTCTTGGGAGAGTGTGGTGCTGATAACACCAAGGCCACGGGTTCGGATCCCTATGTAGGGATGGCCGGTTTGCTCACTAGCTGAGCGTGGTGCTGACAACACCAAGTCAAGGGTTAAGATCCCCTTACCGGTCATCTTTTAAAAAAAAATTGTTTGTACCAAGCCGTTTGAATTATATGTATTGACTATAAATGACTCATTAGCCCCAATTTCCAGTGACAAACCTGGGAAGCAAGCAATTTTGAATTGTTTTATATTAATATTTGTAGATAAAAGCCATTTCTAATTTCTGAAGAGACATGTTTTTGATTTTAACAGATCCAAATATATTTAGTTTCTTTGCATAAAAGCAAAACATCAAATAAACATAAACTTACATAATAACTAGCATTTTGATATTTTACCAATATAACATGACTTTAAGATTTCAAATCACGGGCCGGCCCGGTGGCGCACTGGAGAGTGCGCCGCTTGGGAGCGCGGCGGCGCTCCCGCCGAGGGTTCAGATCCCATGTGGAGACTGGTTCCCACTCACAGGCTGAGCGCGGTGCGGGTGCGACACCGAGGGTTGTGATCCCGTTGCCAGTCCCCGGTACAGGCGCGACACCAAGGGTTGCGATCCCGTTACCGGTCAGTAAAAAAGACAAAAAAGGAAAAAAAAAAAAAAAAAAAGCAGGGGAGGCTTTGCATTAAAAAAAGATAAAGAGTTAACAATGGGTCAAAAACCTTAACACTGAAGAATTTCCCAAACCTTTAATACACAAATGCACAGATCCTCTTAGTGAAGGGCAGGGTGAGCATGTCCCATTTCCCACACTTATTTGACCAGAACTCTATTTCCCTGGAACATTTCCTGGCTCTAGTGTTGCGTAAGTTTCCAGGTTTGGGAAATCCTGGCAAGGAGAAGACTGTCTCTGGTCTGTTCCGAATGAATCGCTTTTTACCTGTCCTTTGTTATTCTTACACCAGTCTGCTCTGTATTCAGCTGTCAGCTTTGTTAATACCCATGTACAAAAAAGAGCTAACACAGCAGGTCTGACTGCTATCCTTTTAAAGGCTTGCTTACGAGGCTGGGAAGATGGATATCAGGTAGGTTCCCACCATTCTCAGAATAGATAAGAGTGGCTCACGGTGCCTAACTGTTTATACAAACAATACTTTTTATGCTGAACATCTGCTTTCCTTCTGGGAGTCTGGAATCTGAGTATATGCCAGGCAGAGGCCGCCTATGCGACTGGCCCCCAGGAAAAACCCCAGACACTGAATATCTCGCAAGCTTCCCTGGTAAGCAACATTCCTCACGTGTTGTCACAACTGGCTGCTGGTGAATTAAGCGCACTGTGTTGTGTGTGATGCCACTGGGAGAGGACTCTGGAAGCCTGTGCTTGTTTCCCCAGGGACTTTACTTCATGCATCTTCCCCTTTGACAGAATTTGCTCTGTATCCTTCAGCTGTAATAAATCTTAGCCATACGAGTATATGCTGAGTCCTGTGTCTGAATCCCAGCAAATCCCTGAATCTGGGGGTGGCCTTGGGGGCCCCCAACACAACCTGGAACAGCAGTGTATGGGACAGCGCTGGGCCTCTACAGACAGGGTGCCCTGAATCTGCAGAGTCACTATTTGGGATGATGTGCTTCACCATCCTCTAGCAGGGAATCCTGTTTGGAGATCTAACTACAAGGTTCCATCAGGATACATTTGGGGTAACCTCAATAAGCAACTCTTCGTACAGCAAATGCAAAGGACTTTGTTTTTCCATCACTCTGTGCCTGATATCACATGGCTTATGCCAGGACTAAGCTTGCTCTGTGGATGTGATCAGTCCAAAGAGCCAAGAACAGAAGTTTTGTCTTTTTTGTTTTTCCAAAAACACTTTCAGATGTTCAAGAGGCCAAAATATACCACCCGTGTATTCTTATTAAAAAAGTATTCAAGAGCCGGCCCGGTGGCGCACTCGGTAGAGTGTGGCGCTTGGGAGCGCGGCGGCGCTCCCGCAGAGGGTTCGGATCCCATATAGAGACTGGTCTGTTCACTGGTTGAGTGCGGTGCGGGCGCGACACCGAGGGTTGCGATCCCGGTACCCGTCACGAAAAAAAAAGACAAAAAGGAAAAAAAAAAAAAGTATTCAAGACATATTCAAGATTGAGGCAACTGAATATAAAATGTAATGCAATAAGCATTAAAATCCATTCACTTCTATATAGTGCTGTGACTTGATTATAAAATGTAATGACTACATGTGTCAAAAATGAGTCTCAAAAAGGAAAGCATCTATGGAAAAAGTAATATCTTGATAATAATCTGGATCAAAAATTGCAAATTATACAAAGACTGTGAAGTGAAGGTGATAAAATTCTTGTCTTATGTAGGGGAGACCCAATAAAACTGCATCTGGTAATTAAAGAAATACAGGCTAAACAATGCTTTTAGGAAATCAAAGAAAACCATTAATAGGCTTAAAAAATATGGTAACTGCCTGTGGTGAAGATAAAGAAAAAATATAGTCCACATGACAAGGGAAAACAAAGGAAGTGAAAATGTTCACTATCTAATGTTAAAGAGGAAAAAGAAAAGTAGGATACAAAACTGAACCTACAGAATGATCTCAATTTTCTAAACTATCAGACAGAATAACTGCTGGGTTGTGAAATTACGGGACTGGGACTTTTCTACACGTCTACGTTCTCATGTCTAAAATGAGAACACCAATCCTAAACATCTTATTACAGGGGATGCTATAAACATTAGTTTAACAAATTATAAAAAAAGACAAGACAGAATATTATATGTTATCATGACAAAGATCTGAAAAATTGGAGCAATGACGGGGAGAGAACTGAAAACACTCTGGAAATTATGCAATTTGGACTATCGAAATCTACAAATAGCACCGTAGGCCCGTGTATCACTATGGACTTTTCAAACTACCTACATGTAACCATCTCATTGATTTTTAAGCCAATGTAGCGATGAAGATAGTAAGAGAAGTTTTTAACAGCCTCACAGAAACTGGTCAAAGAAACAGACATAAACGAACAGTAGGGCCAGGGCAAATGTTCCCAAGTGTGTGCTGAATTAAGCATACAGCAAAGGCTATGAGAACCAGCAGAGTTCAGCAGTCTAGGTTCTAATTGTGACTGCTCACTTTTACAGATGAAAAAACAGCCCACAGGACCACCATCTAACACATACTCTTTTCTATAGCTTCCTATTTAAAAATACTAGAAAACCTCTGGACTTAGTGTCGAGAACGTACAGATACAGCGATAACCACATAATTTTGCCACTCTTTAGCTCGATGAGCACATTATTTTCCTGCACCTCCGTTTTTGCCCGTCAAACCAGGATGGTCTCCGACCCGTTCATCTCGTGCTCCCGGTCCTTAGAGGCTCCCTAGGTGACAGGATTCCCGTGCGGCTGCTGCCGGTCTGTTGACTAACTCGCTTCTGCCCACTGCTCGACGACACGACCCAGAAAGTCAAGCGCTGGCTCTTCACGACCAAGCGCGACTGCCTCCCGGAGGCCAGCTGCCTGGGCGACAGGTGCATGCACACGTGAGCAGCTTTGCGGGAGAGAGAGAATGACCGGCTTGGCGCCACACAGCGACGGCCGGATGGAAAGAGGGCCAGGAGAGGGGCGCTGCAGCCACCCCGCGACGAGGCCACCCGCTCGGACGCCGCCGCACCCCGCACCCTGCCCGCCCCACGGGCTGACTTCCCACGTCCGAGGCGTCCAGCACCCCCACTACCCGAGGCGACCCCCCCGCCCGGCCTCTGCTCTGCGGCCCCTAGGCTGAGGCCCGAGGAGGTGAAGCGGCGCCCGGGCTCGCGCGGTGGACGCCCGCGCCAGCTGTCGGAGGGCCGACCCGGAAGCCTCGG